CCCCGTTCTTGGACCCGCCATGGACCCCACGGCTGAGCTGGCACAAGGCCTGGGTGGGCTCCGTGCCAGGGGGTTGGGGGGTTTCAGGGCACTGAGGCAGCCTGCAGCAACCAGGCTTCATTTCCTGCCAGGCCTGAAGGACACAAAGTCATTTCTTGCCCTTGTAGATGTGCTGGAGGATTAACCTGAAGCCATCGCAGCAGATCCTGCGGCCTGAGAGGGTTCTTGGATATTGGGAAGGAATTCCTCCCTGCCAGAGCTGCCCAACGTGGTGGTTCACCACCCCGGACCCCACAGCAGTGACAGACAGGTCCCAGCCCCTCCGTTTCTGTGCTGGCAGGATGTTGTGTGGAGCGGAATATCCCTCTGGCCACTCCAGGTCAGCTCTCACGGCCACGCTCTCACCCAGCCCCTTGTGCCCCTGCTCGCTGGCAGAGCCTGGGAAACTGAAAATTCCTTGGTTTGGATTAAGCACAACTCAGCCACAACCACAGCATCGGTTGTTATCAACATTATTCCCGTGCTAAATCAAAAACACAGCTCTGGATCAGCTACTGGGAAGAAAATTAACACTATCCTAGCCAAAACCAGGTCACAGGCACTGCCATTTATGCTTTTATGTGCATAAATACCTATTCCTTGCATCGCTGTTCCCAAGGACATGATGATTGAGGCTTGTCACACACAGCACAGTGACAAACCTGCCCCAGGTGAGGCAGTGGGGCTGCAGCTCAGGGGGAGCAGTGCAGGGCTGTTCCAGCCCCACGTGCTGGGGGTGATCCAGAGTCTTGCTGCACCAGGAATTCTCCAGGTTCCGTGTTCCCCTCCCTCCATGCAAAGCTCTGAACAAGCAGCAGTTTACAGGGGCAAAGCTGGGCAAAACCCAGGCTGGGGAGGGCAAAGGAGGCCTGTGGCTCTGGGGAAGCAGGACCTGGGGTCTCAGCCACAGCTGAAGATGGAGGGGACACATTTAGCAGGCCCAGGGGACATCCCCTCTCCCATCCACCAAAACCAACAGCATCACACTGCCCCAGCTCACCTCTACCTCGGGCAAGAGAGCAGCAGCAGAGGGAGGAGCAGCCAGGCACGTAGAAAACCATCCTGCAGCCTGAAAAAGCAGTGGAAAGGTGAACTGGAATATTGGGAGAGAAGCCAGGAACCATCAGGCCATTCCCTGCTGTGAGAGCAATGTGGCTGGAAGGGGAGCAGGAACCTGCCACCACCTTCTGGATGTCCTGCTGGAAGGGGAGCAGGGCCTGGAGAGGGAACAGGGGCTGGGGAGCCCAGGTGAGCTGCTGGAAAAGGCTGGGGAGCCCAGGTGAGCTGCTGGAAGAGGAGCAGAAGTTCTGGTGAGCTGCTGGAAGGGGAGCTGGAGCCCAGGTGAGTTGCTGGAAGGAGAGCTGGAGCCCAAGTGAGCTGCTGGAAGGGGCTGGGGAGCCCAGGTGAGCTGCTGGAAGGGGCTGGGGAGCCCAGGTGAGCTGCTGGAAGGGGCTGGGGAGCCCAGGTGAGCTGCTGGAAGGGGCTGGGGAGCCCAGGTGAGCTGCTGGAAGGGGCTGGGGAGCCCAGGTGAGCTGCTGGAAGGGGCTGGGGAGCCCAGGTGAGCTGCTGGAAGGGGCTGGGGAGCCCAGGTGAGCTGCTGGAAGGAGAGCTGGAGCCCAAGTGAGCTGCTGGAAGGGGAGCAGGAGCCCAGGTGAGCTGCTGGAAGGGGAGCAGAAGTCCTGGTGAGCTGCTGGAAGGGGAGCAGGAGCCCAGGTGAGCTGCTGGAAGAGGCTGGGGAGCCCAGGTGAGCTGCTGGAAGGGGAGCAGGAGCCCAGGTGAGCTGCTGGAAGGGGAGCAGGAGCCCAGGTGAGCTGCTGGAAGGGGAGCAGGAGCAGGCACAGGAGACAGGAGGCTCCTGCTGGGCTGATGCAGCAGGAAGGCAGCAGAAACCTGCAGCAGGTCCTGACCCAGGAGAGTGCTCTGAAGGCCTGGGGGGACCAGGAAGGTTGGTGGGCTTTGTACAGCAGAGAATGACAATGACACAGAGCTGTCCCCTCTGTGGGCCCTGCACAGCTCTGGAAGCCCAAGGGCTGTGCTCACTGAGGAACAGAACCAAAGCTCCTCATGCCCCAGCCCTGAATCATCATTCTCATCACTTCTCGTGCCTGCCCCAGGGGAGGTGACACGGGGAAGGTGACTGTGGCATGGTGGCAGGTTACTCATGGACTCAGTGCCCTGGGAGAGCAGCAGGATGATTTCCGCTGCAGCAGATGAACCTTTGCAGTGGGAACTCCAGTGTCACGTGTGGCCTCTGGGCCCCGAAGGGACAATGCTGAGCTGTGACACACCACAGAGCAGGGAAAGGAATGGCTCCCAGCACAGGGGTCTGACCCTCCAAATCCCCCACACGCCTGCAGGTTTGCACTCACAGAAACCCCACCAGGGTGGGACAATTGGTCCCCAGGCAGAGCCAGGGGGAGGCTGAAGGAGCCAGGGGGAGGCTGAAGGGGCCAGGGGGAGGCTGAAGGAGCCAGGAGGAGGCTGAAGGAGCCAGGGGGAGGCTGAAGGAGCCAGGAGGAGGCTGAAGGAGCCAGGGGGAGGCTGAAGGGGCCAGGGGGAGGCTGAAGGGGCCAGGGGGAGGCTGAAGGGGCCAGGGGGAGGCTGAAGGGGCCAGGGGGAGGCTGAAGGGGCCAGGGGGAGGCTGAAGGAGCCAGGAGGAAGCTGAAGGGGCCAGGAGGAGGCTGAAGGAGCAGGGCTGAAGGACAGGGGCTCCTGGCTCCCACAGGTGGGGTTCACACCTGAAGGATCCTGCCCCAGGACTGGATGCTGCAGCTTTGCCCAGGGTTCCTGTGCTCCAACCAACACAGCTCCTCTCCCTTCCCCAAACGTGTTTCTCCACTTCCTCCCACGCCCTTCCCACCCCACCAAACCTCTTAGGATGATTTTATCTCAGATTTAAATCGGTGTCTTTCATACAGCACCAAGGGTCACAGAAACAGTTGTGCAAACCTTTGCTCTGCCACTGCAATCCCCCAGATCCAGTGTCCCGACCCTGCAGGCAGTTCTGCCACCCAGCAGGAAATCCCAGCCCTGACATTTTACCCTAATATCAAAGGCACACATTAGATATTAAACACTGCCTGGTTAATTTTAATTACTGGTTCTCAGCTCTCACATTCCCCTGTGCCCCACCACAGCCACATGAAGGTGCAGCATGCAGACATTGCTGTTTCACTCATTTAGGGGGTGAAATGGAACCTGACCCATGAGACTTTCACCATCCCCACCACAACTGACCCACTGGGGCACTTCACACCCATGAACACCTGGCAGCTGGATCACTGACATTACCTGAGGATGCAGCACTGCTCCTGTCAGGCCAACACTCCAAAATACACAGCAACACTACAAAATGCTCATTTCTTGACTCCCTGTTCCTGTAATAAAACCTTCATTTCATTAATTCTTCACAGGACAGAGACAAACAATTTTTACTTCCCTTACAAACATCACAATTGTTAAAAGCTGGCTTCAGTTTTAGTACAAGATACCAAACACTTCAGAACTGCAACAAAAACTTAAGGTCCTTCCCACCCAGACCATTCTGGATCCTGTGACTCTGTGACAGGTTCCCAGGTGATGACGGAATATGGAGTTTATATCACACAGACAAATCCACAAGGACAGTTTCCAGCAGTGCAGGTGATCAAACAGGAGGCAAAAGCCACAATTTGTAGCTGGAGAGGCTCAGAGTGGACATTGGGAGCAGCTTTTCCATTAATGCAACACCCAGGCCCAATGGGTGCAGCAGGCAGAGAGGCTGTGGGAGATCTCCATCCCTGGGAGGTTTCCAGACTCAGTCCCAGCTCTCCAGGAGTGCCTGAGCTCCAGAGGCTTTTCCAGCCAGCACTCCCAGCTAGGCCAGCCTCAGGATCAGGATTCCTTCCAGCCCCAAAGCTGAGGAGTGACAATTGTCTACATTTTTGTCAGCTTAACAGCACATTTTTCAAAAACCACTGGCACCCCCTCTGCCTGAATGGCAATACAGAAACAGAGCCAAGGTCTCCTGCATCCAGAGGCCCAAAACAAGGTGACTCAATCACTGTAATAGTGTTAGAAGACTTCAGATAATTTTTACCTGTGCCTCAGTTTCCTCCCCCTCTGATCTTGAAAACAGACAACAGGAAGCTTCATTGATCAGGAAGCTTAATTGATGTTTTCAAACCAGTTTTTCAGAGCTGAAGATGAAAAGGCACAAATAGAAAAAGCATTAATTGGAGTTTTCAGTATTTGTTATAGCTGTTAAAAAGCCCTGAGCTCCCTGGAGTCCTGCCCTGCTGGGCCCTCTGCAAGGATAAAAACATAAATCAACTCCTACCCTGAAAATCCCAGCAAACAGGAGAAGCAGAAGGTTTTTTCATCAGGTGTCTGCTGGGGCCTGGCACAGGCTGAGGTGGGAGAGAATTTCTGACTCAGGGAGCCACGGCAGCCCCATGTGGGGAGGGGGGAGCTGTGCTAAGAAAACATCAGGATGATATGGTTCACACCACAAACACCGTGTCCTGCTTCCCTGGGACTTGGTGACAACACCTGTGACCTGCAAAGAGCAGCCCCAGGACAGCTGGGGACAGCCAGCTCAGCTCTGTCTGTCCCCAGGCAGCTCCAGTGCTTGAGCAGCTCTTTGCAGGAACAGCTCCCAGGCACGGGGGGATTGTTGGGGTGTCTGTGCAGGGCCAGGGGATCCCTGTGGGCCCCTCCTAACTCAGGGTATTCCATGATCCCAAAGCCATGGGACACCCTCTGACAGATGCCCTGCACACCCTGCCAGGTCTGTCCCTCCTGGGGGGACACAGAGCAGCTCCCAACACCCTCCAAAGCCCCGAGGGGACCTCAGCCCCTCACCTGCAGCCCCACCCCGCTGAGCTCCCCATTGGCCAGCCCAGTTCCCAATTCCATCAGCCCCGCATGCCAATCACCCTGCCCGGTATTTAACTGGGGCCGCGCCCAGCGCTCCCAGTCTCACCAGTGCTCCCAGTCTCACCAGTGCCGGGCGCGCAGGAGGCAGGTAAGGCTGGGCTGGGGGAGCTGGGGGAGGTGTGGGGGCTGGGGGGCTCTGTGGCATGTTTGGGGTGACTCCCCAGGGCTGCCCTGCTCTGCCCGGGGCTCTGCAGGGCAGAGGATGGGTGGGCACAGGTGATGCAGGAGCTGTGGCTCAGAGGTGCCTGCGCTGGGAGCTGTGTGTGCCACAGGGCACTTCCCGCAGCCTGGCAGAGCAGGAGCTGCTGCTGTGGCACTGCTTTTTCTCTCTGTGTGGGGCAGGGGGGGCTTTGCTTTCTGAGGCCAAAGGTGACATTTTCTGGTGTTGTGATGTGTCTGCCTTGAGTAATAACTGAGAGGCTTGAGGGTGGAACTAGGTGATCTTTAAGGTCTTTCCCTTTAGGGAATGGTTTGGGATCTAAACCCTTCCCTAAAGGCTTCTTCTCAGCTTTAAGATGACTCTTTGGTAACTCCATGATCTCTGAGCTGTGACTGAGCAGTTTGGGCTTTAAAAGCTTTTTTTCTGCTTCTTGTTTGCTGAGGGTCCACAGGAGGTGACTCCCAGCAGTCACATGCACAGCCCAGCGCTGTGTTTGGGATGGTGGGGACAAGGTGGATGCTCCAGGGGCAGGTGACACCCTGGGGACAGGTGGTGCAGGTGACCAGCTGGGCATTCCCTTCCTGTGACAGCGCTGCCAGCCCTGCCTGGGGCTGTTTCTCGTGATCCTTTGGTGGAGGCACAGAACTGAGTGACAGGAGAGCTCCTGCTCAGGAGCACCCTGTCCCTGCAGGGCCCTGCCAGCTCCCACAGGGGGCTTTGGCAAACTGGATTAGTGTTCCTCAACACTAACAAGGCTTTAAATGTGGTCATGACTACCCTGAGCTGTGGATGGCTGGGAAGGATTTCAGTTTCTGAAGCTGGTTCTGCTGAAAATGCCAGATGGAAATCTGCTGAGCTGCTTGCTGTGCAAGTTACAGCTTCCAGATGAAACCAGAGCTCTGTCCTCATGGAAAGATTGGGCAGTACTGAGAAGCTTTTTCTCAGTAAAATTAAAGGTGTTTCTCAGTAAAAGTTCCTCTCCTCTTTTCTAAAATATCTCTGTTCCCAGCAGTTGCTGGCCCCGTGGTGGCCACTGGCCGTGGTGTTTAATTTCTGCTGGGGTGTGTGGGGGAAGCCCTGCATCCATCAGCAAGGGTGGCTTTGATCTTTGAGGTTTCCTCGTGCTGCTGGTTTATCCAGAAAGGTGAGATGGGCACCTCTGCCAGCCCTCGAAACTACTGTCCTCAGGTCAAAGCTGGGAATCATTTGATCTTTCTCCTAAAACTAATTCTGTCCTCAGAGCATTTGCAGCCCATTCCCCACAGATATCCTGTAACCCAGTTCTGCATTTTTGGGACCCGGGTATCAGTGGCAAATCTCGAAAAGAATGTAAATAGGTGCTTTAACTACAATTGAATTCCTGTGCCCTGATTAGCCCTCCCTGCTCACATCTAAAGCACTAAGTTTAGCTTTGTTTTCCTCAGTGGTCATTAAGGAATTGCCAGTTAAGCCACTGAACCAGCCGTGCTGGCTGTGGCTCACTCTGTCTCCCAAGGTAAAATTCCCTGGAAGGGAAAGAAGCTTCCTGAACGTGAAGATGCTACAGGAGCACACACCAGCAGCCTGTCCTCATGGAGCTGAGCTGCTTCCCACAGGGAAACCTTCCAGCAAGGGGAGTAAAGAACCAGTTTTGCATGAACTGGTCACTGCCAGTGCCAGAAGTCAGAGAGCCAGCCCTTGTTCTTCCACTGACTCAACTGGGCAATGAGCAGGAGTTCAGCTCCTGATCCCAGCAAATCTCTTGACCTTGATGTTAGAAAAGGGCACTGAAGTTTCATTGTTCTGAAACCACTTGTTTCAAAAGCTTTCTCCAGCGGTGACCTAATATTTCAGATGTAGCAATGGTGTGAAGTCATCTGATCATCACTTTCATATGAAGAAAACCACAGCCAAAACAAAGTGCTGCTCTTTCTGTTCCTCTGCCCGCTGGGATTTCCACTCCCAACCATCCTGGCTTGGCTGTGGCTTCTCCAAAGGATTCAGGACCACCTGACCCAGAGTTGCCAACCACTGGGCTTTCCTGCAATCTCTGAAGAAAAGCAAGGGCTGCTCAGCACTTCTGCAGGAAAGAGAAAACAAATCCAAGCTGTGGAGATCTGCCCACACTGCAAATCCGGGTGTTGCAAAACATGGATTTCTCCTGTACAGTGAAGAACAAACCTTGTTCCAACATGACTGTGCTGAAGGATTGTCCCTGGCAGCCTGCATCCTTAATTAACACAGGATTCCTGTACTTCAGGGGTTGAGCTAACCTTACACCAGTTTTTACATCAGCCAAGAAGTTAGTCCTGAATTGCTCTAACCAGAGTCCTTCCCCTCGTCCTTTTGCTGCTGTATCCCTGACACCAAGGCCGCCACAGTGTCAAACTCCACAGTTTGAGCTTTTTCCACCTGTCCAGAAGTAAAATAACAGAGCAAAGGGGTTGTTTGTGATGGTGTTGAAAGAGCTGTGCTTTGCCCCTAAGTCAGCCCAGCTTGGCTCTAAAGAAATAACAAACGTGCCCTGAGGCAGAGCAGGAGGGACAGCACTGACAGCAAACCCTCTGGACTTTGGGACTTGGATTTCATAGGCAGCCTTGCTTTCTTTGGAGCAGCTTTTTACAGCTTCTCCCAGCCTGGTGAGGACCCTTTGGTGTTTCTGCTGTGCAGATAACCTGGGGAGGGCTCCCAGAGGAGCACTGGCTCCCAGCTTCTCACTGGAGAGCCTGGGGGTGACAACTTGTGTGACACTTTTGCTATAGGCACGTGGTACTCGGCATCCCTGCCCTGCTCAGATCTCACTGAATTCTGACTAATTCACTGGTTAATGCAGCAATATTTGCTGTTTTGCCAAGTCACCCCCCGAGATGTCCCTGGCCCAGTTCAGGGCTCACAAATGCTGGTTTCACTACTTCTCTCCATCTCTCTGTTCCTGTTTCTCAGCAAAATCAAAACCTTGCACAAGGCAAAGAACACAAGAAAAAAGACAATGTGTTCCACCACAACTCAGATGGCAAGTTTTTTTTGGGGAAGAGTCTGCTAGTGTGCCTGGAGCAGTGCATGGCTTCGGAATCCAGTTTGGGAGGAATTTCGGTTTGAGAGTTTTCCACTGGAAAATGTCATAGCAAATCTAAGAATAGGAATAAACTGGCAAATGAGAGAAAAGCAGCCCCTGTCCCAAAGAACAAATGTGTTGAAATCCCTGCTGTGCCTGACTAAGGCTCAGAGTAATCCTGGGTTTATTACCAATACAGGAGTGTCCAGATACCATAGGAGATCTATGCTGGGGAACCAATACCCATTCAGATTATTGCAACATTTTATATTTTTTCAATCCCTTTATGTCATGAGAATGAAACCAAGGCTCAGAGACACAGGAAGTGAGATTTCCTGCCTTGCTGGTCAGTAGGATGTGAAGGCAATTCTCCAGGTAGCCATGGAATGCTATACCTGGGAAACCTGGTTCATCCTCCAGGGAAAACTCCACAGGATTTTCATGTCCTTCCCAAACTGCTTATGTTGTTATATTTTCTCTCCCCTGTCCAGCTGAGGAGGAGTTGTTTTAGTGAGTACCTGGTGTCCAGCCAGGGTTGTCCCAACCCCACAGAGAAAACACAAGACATAAAATAGTTCTCATCTATTTCTAACCTGAACCTTCCTGGGAGCAGCTGAATGATGGATCCCAGCTTTGTTGCCCTCTGCTTTTCCCCTGTTCTGGCAGGATTTTATTTCTTTGGAGGCAATGTAATTGTGCTCATAATACTCTTGTTTTTCCTTCCAGCTGCAGCTGAAGTCAGTATGGCCTCAGGAAAGACCCCAACCCCAGACCTGCTGAAGGCTGAGGAGCAGCAGACTGTGGTAGGTGCCAGGGCACCCACAGCTGTTAAATCACCCACTGACATGTGCTGGTAAACCTCTGCCAGCACCCCAAAACCAGGCTGGGGGGGACAGAAAGATTAGTCCTATGAAGCTGTGGCCAAATCAAAACCCCCTCACTACAGGAGGTAATTGATTTGCTCAAGAGACAGCTTCAGGGCTGGCCAAATGATGGAAGTAGGTCTGAAACAGGAGCTGTTACAGGCCCTTCTTCCACATTTGGTTTGGTGCTGAAACCACTGTGACTCAGAATTCACAAGCACAGAGTTCAGGCTTCTAAACCCTGGCTCATTCACTTGGTGGAGGCCTTTGGATGAGTTGGAGGATGAGGAGATGGATTTGCTGGGACATTTCTGGACAGACACATGGCTGTGTTCACCCACCAGCTCAGGGTTCTCTAATGTCAGGGTTTCTCTTGGGTTTAGAGCGCTGTCAATCGAGTCACCAACCTGCCCTTGCTCAATTCTGCCTTCAACCTGGTCTCCTCTGCCTACAACCACACCAAGGAGTCCCACCCCTGCCTCAGTGGTGTCTGCAGCGTGGCTGAGACCGTGGCTGCCGTGGCTGTGGGCAGCGTGGTCGGAGGGGCACAGCCCATCCTGAGCCAGCTGGAGCCACAGAGTAAGTGCAGGGCTGGGGGAACCCTTGGACAGCAGGGGAGGGGAGGTTCATGTGCCTGTAGGGTGATCCCACCTCCTACAGCACCTTCTCCTCTAGCACAGAGCCTCCCACTCAGCATCTTCTGGACACTGAACTGCCTGGGAATTAACCTATTTCCAGGAGAGTTTGATTTCTTGAGGTTACTGAGTAGTAACTCCCTGCTCACTCACTCTCACTGCAGATTCTGACCATCCCAGGCAGGAGCTGTGTCAGCCTGGCTCATCCCAACATTTTTCAGCCCTTTAAACCCAATGCCCTACCCACCAAGGGCAGGTGCTACAGTGCAGTTGGATTAAAGTCTGCTGTTAGAAAGCTGGGAAGGTAAAATGGAGACTATTGGAACCTGCCCAATTTTAGGATTGGTTCACTTTTAACAAGATGCCCACACACATCCCACCCTAGAATAGGGATTTATTTCATGGGGCTTGTTTTCATGTGTGTATCCTGAACTGGCCATTGTAGGGTCAAAAACCCATCCCCAAATGTAAGAATAAACTGGTGCCTGTTTGTCTCCTCCAGTTGCTCTTGTGAATGAATATGCCTGTAAAGGTCTGGATCAGCTGGAGCAGAACTTGCCCTTCCTGCAGCAGCCAGCAGACAAGGTAAGGAAAGGCTTTTTTGGGGGAAGCCATGGCCTGATGGAAGTGCTGTGGGTACAGAAGAAGATGGGGAAATAAATAAAGCTCAGCAGCAGGGAAAGCTCGAGAGGTGCCCTGAGCATGCAGGAGTGACCATGTCCGTGTCAGTACAGCTGTGCTCACCTCCCTGGCCCTCCCACACCCTGCAAGCACAACTAACCCAGGTGGGAAAGCTTTTTCAGGGAGGGAAAACACATTTTGGAACAACAACAAAAAAATCTTTCTCTCCCTGATGCAGGTGATCTCAGACACCAAGCAGCTGGTGTCCACCAAAGTGACATCTGCTATGGATGCTGCCTGTGAGGCCAAGGAAGCGGTGGCTGATAAAGTCACTGAAGCTGTGGACCTCACTAAAAATGTTGTTGGGGACAGTGTCAAGCTGACCAGGTCTGTGGTCACCTCCACTGTCAGCAGCGCTGTGGAGGCTGCCCAGGGGGCCAAGGAGCTGGTGACCAGCAAGGTGACAGAGGCTGTGGACCTCAGTAAGCACCTTGTGGAGGACAGCGTTGACAGGACCAAGTCTGCTGTGACTTCCACCATCACTGCAGCTGTGGGGGCTGCCCAGGGGGCCAAGGACCTGGTGGCCAACAAGGTGACAGATGCTATGGACAAGGTCAGCAAAGCTGTGGATGTCACCAAGCACATGGTGGAGGACAGTGTTGACCTGACCAAGTCTGCAGTTGCTTCCACGATTGTCAGTGCTGTGGAGGCTGCTCAAGGGGCCAAGGAGCTGGTGACAGACAAGGTGACCAAGGCAGTGGACCTCAGTAAACACATTGTAGAAGACAGTGTTGATCTGACCAAGTCTGCAGTTGCCTCTACAATTGTCAACGCTGTGGAGGCTGCCCAGGGTGCCAAGGAGCTGGTGACCAACAAGGTGACAGAGGCTGTGGATGTCACCAAGCACACAGTGGAGGACAGCATTGACAGGACCAAGTCTGCTGTTGCTTCCACCATCACTGCAGCTGTGGGGGCTGCCCAGGGAGCCAAGGACCTGGTGGCCAACAAGGTGACCGAAGCAGTGGACCTGACCAAAGAGGCTGTTCAAGACAGTGTTGAGAAGACCAAATCTGCGGTCACCTCTACAGTCAGTACAGCTCTGGATGCTGCCTGTGGCACCATCAGCAGCAAGATCAGCACAGCCCTGGAGCAGGGCAAGGAGGCTCTCCAGAAGGGCGTGGAGATGACCAATTTAGAAGTGACCAACAGCATAAGCAAAGTCAAGGCAGTGAGCCAGGCAGTGGCTGGAGGTGTGGAATCTGTCCTGGGAATGTCAGAAGATCTGGTGGATCATTACCTCCCAATGACCGAGGAGGAACTAGGTAAGAAACTACTTACCTGGCGCTTGTAGATGCAAGTCCTTTCCCATGTGAGTAGAGAGCACCTGACACAGCAAGACTCGAGCTTCTGAAGCAGACAGGTAGCTCTGAATTTGTCACCAAGTTGCTGGCTGTCAACACCAAATTGCCACATGGCGTGGGACAGAGATCAAACACTTGCTGGCTGGTCCTTGTCCATCAGCCTCAAAGTAAACAAACACATGGGTCCACACTTCAACCTCTCCATCAAGTCTGCTTACCTGAAAACTGAGCAGGGACTAACCTGCCTTTAACACACGAGCGACTACAAACCCCCTGCTCCCACAGCAAGATCCAACCCTCACGTTTTCCAGTGGGTGATCCAACCTCTTCCAGCCCTCCCAGCTGGCAGTGAGCACAGCTGCAGCTCTGTTCTTGTTTCCTCCAGGTCAGCTGGCCACCACGGTGCAGGGGTTTGGCGTGGCCTCCGTGGAGGAGCAGAAGAGGCAGCGGAGTTACTTGGTGCGCCTGGGCTCGCTGTCGGGCCGGCTCCGGCACCGAGCCTACCAGCACTCCCTGGCCAAGCTGCAGGGCTTCAGGCACCGCATCCAGGACACCCTGGCACGGCTGCAGCTGGCAATAAAACTGGTACCGACACGCTTTTCCCTTCTTCCTACTGTTTATAGCCTTTCCTGCCCTGCTATCCAGCTGGAAGCTCTTCCTCCATCCCGCACCAGCTCCGTGTCACCTTGGATCCTTCCCTGGCACGGAAGCGCTTGTGCCTCTCTGTGTGTGCTTGCAGTCCAACTTTTCCTCTCATTTTTCCTATCAGATTGAATCAGTGAAACAGGAGGTTGGCCAGAAGCTGCTGGAGGGGCAGGAGAAGCTCCATCAGCTGTGGGTGGACTGGAGCCTGACTCAGCCCAAAGGAAACCAAGTCAGGACTGCGAGGCAGCCGGAGGTATCCCCGGAGGGGCCCGGAGCAGCAGCCCCTCGGCGCGGGCCTCCCGAGCCGTCCCTGAGCTGTTCTCTCCCGGCAGGTGGAGCCCCGCACTCTGGCCATGCTGAGGATCATCACCCAGCAGCTCCAGCCCGCCTACCACAGCCTCAGGCTCAGCATCCTCGGCCTCCCCAGCAGCATGCAGGAAGCCGTGGCTCGGGCCGCTCGACACATCTACAAGCTCCACAGCTCTTTTTCCAGGGCTGTGTCCTTCCAGGACCTCTCCAGAACCACCCTGGCCCGCAGCCAGGACCGTGTGGCGGAGGCTCGGAGGTCCCTCGATGTCCTCTTTGAGTATGTGGCTCACAACATCCCTCTGAACTGGATTGTGGGGCCCTTCAGGGCCATGGCTAAGGTGGCACAGGACAGCAGAAAGCACAAGAAGAGAGAGATGAGGAGTGATAGAAAATTACCCAAGTTGGAAAACGCTCCACTATCACAGGAGGTGACAAAGGCACCTGAAGAGCCAAAGGGAACCAAGAAGCTCTCAGAAAAATGGTGTGAAGTGCTAGAGAAGCTGGAGGAGAAGGCAGGGAAGGACACAGAGGTGGCCCTGGCTGCAAAGGAGATAAAAACCAGTGCAGCAGAGGAAGATCTCTGATAAATCCCAGCTCTTCTGACCAAGGCTACTTGGCTAGAACAGCACTGGATTTTCTAATTGTGTGCCCACTTGTGCCACGAGTGCCTCTGATCTCGGAATTTAGGGTCAGATGTAGTTGTAAGGAGATCTGATAACCAAGGCGGGGAGATTCTGAATCTTAATTTACTGTTTTTAAATCCAACTGCTGTGCTGAAAGGGGAGATGGGACCTGCACTGCAGCTTTTGAACCCAGCCCAGCTGTAGCTATGAGTAGCTAAATCTTGCTGAGACAAGTTGTGGGAGAGAAGTGATCTCAACTTATTTTTAATGCTGGATTTGTTTTTAGTTTACCCAAGCTGTGGAGCTCTTGAGAAGATGCTATGCTTGACCTTTGATACCATCTCCCACCTTCTCCACATTTAAAAATACAAGTTCCAGACACAACTTCCTTTGTGCCTGTTGTGCTTCCGGGGAGGCTCGGCCCTGCAGCACATCTGGCACAGCTGGGGCAAGGAGCTGCTTCTCAAGAAGAGATTTCTCTTCATGGATCAGCCAAACACTTTTTCCTTCATAGAGAAGGACTCAGCAGTGTGGGGTTTTCTTTAATCATCTTTCCTAGTTCTGTGGATGACTTCAAGGATTATCTGTGAGTAACTCCATGTGTGAAAGACTCCACAGCCATTAAATGAGGCAGCTTTTCCCAGGAGTTACTCTGCCATGGGATTAGGATATCCTGTTATTAAAACAGGGGGGATTTTAATCCAGGTGCTGGTTCTTTTCCAGAAAACACTACTTTGTAATCATTTCTAATGTAACTTATTTTGGTAACTGTTCCTGGCATTGTCCCTGTGCCAGGGCGGGTGAGCAGACACTGGAATAAAGTGTGACCTGTGTTCAAAACCATGTGGGTTTGTGTGTACCTAAAGCTGCATCACCTGAGCTGTGATGAAGCCTTGCCTTTACAAAATCTTGTCCCTGCCTAGCTCGTCTGTTCCCTGCTCTTGCTGGAGGGGGGAAAAAACAAAGTTCCTTTAACAGGTCCCTTTCTTAACCAGAAAAATGCCTTAATAACTTTGTTCCCCTGACTTCTGCCTGTACTCCTGAGGTGCATCTGTCCATGCCCCACTCTTCCTCTGCCACCCTGGATCCTTGAGCTTCCCACCGGCACTTCCCGCAGGGACAGGTCGGTCCCTGCCTGTCCCAGCGCTCTGTCAGCTCGGGGGCCGGGCTGGGGAAGGTGGCGGGTGTCTGGCAGGGGACAGACCCTCCTGCTGCCCGGGCTGTGCCCTCCCGGTCCCGGTTCCTGCTCCGCCCCGCTCTGCCCCGCCCGTGCCCCATCGGCCCGCGCCGCTTCCGCCAGCCCCGGGCACCGGCCGCAGGTAGGCTGCTCCCTTCCTTCCCTTCCCTTCCCGGTGAGCCCTTTCCATCCCGGTGAGCCCTTTCCATCCCGGTGAGCCCTTTCCATCCCGGCTGAGCCCTTTCCATCCCCGCTCATCCCTTCCCGTCCCATCCGGGCTCGCCCCACCCGCGCCCCAACTTCCCCCAGCCCGGCCGTGCCACCCCCGTGCCTGGGCCGGGCACCCAGGGCAATTGGGCAATCGCAGGCTTTTCTTGAGACAGGAAAGCAAAAGTGGAATTGGAAACTTTCCCCCGTTGAGAGTTATTTCGGGGCCTTCGCTGGGGCTGGCTTTAAATAGGGAAATTTCTGGAGCAGTGTCCCACTGAAACCCCGTTCAGACGCTCCTGTGGTTTAATTGAAATCCCATCAGAGGCCCGGGGTGAGTGCAGGGGCTCAGGGATCGCCTGTGGATGGGGATATAAAGTCTCCCAATGAAAGAAGGACGTGGAGCTGCTGGGACAGAGTCCAGAGGAGGCCACGGAGCTGCTCCAAGAGTGGAGCCCCTTTGCTCTGGAGCCGGGCTGGGAGAGCTGGGGGTGCTCACCTGGAGAGGAGAAGGTTCCAGGGAGAGCTCAGAGCCCTTTCCAGGGCCTAAAGGGGCTCCAGGTGACTTTAGACAAGGGATGGAGGGACAGGACACAGGGAATGGCTCCCTACTGCCAGAGAGCAGGGTTAGGTGGGATATTGGGAAGGAATTCTTTCCTGTGAATCTTCCCTGATAACACAGGTTATGGGCTGGAAAGGGTTTCCTCTACACCTGTTTTATTCCTCAACTGTCATCACAAGGCGCCTGCGAGACTCCTAGAACCAGCTGCCAGGAGGATACACTTGGATTTACCTAAATATAGCATTATTTAATCAATTATCATAAACCAGTTGTAATTGATGTGAAATGAACACAAAGAATGTGCTTTTTTGCTTAATCACAGAGTCGGAATAATGCACAGAACACTGGCACAGCTGCGAGCACAGAACAGATGCAGAAATATTTGGGAGGTGTGAGAGAGAGCCTGGCAGCTCCAGGAGCATCCCCGGTGCCCACATCACCCCTCTGAAGGCTGTCCTCTGTTCTCTTCACAGATGCAGGAATATTTGGGAGGTGTGAGAGAGAGCCTGGCAGCTCCAGGAGCATCCCCCAGTGCCCACATCACCCCTCTGAAGGCTGTCCTCTGTTCTCCTCACAGACTCCAGCACTGAGAGGCCGCAGTTCTGAGCAGTCCCCCCGGGCACCGGAGGTTTGTGTGGTACGAGGAGTGCCACCGGGGCACCCCGAGCCCCACGGGCAGACAACCCTTTGCCGTAAGATGCTTTTCCCATCCCTGCTGCAGTCCGTGGTCTGGGCCAGCAGCTGATGAGATGGCACAGAGAGCTGAGCTGCAGCCCAGCTTCGAGGATGTGTTCAAAATTCTGTCCCGAGCGCCACCAGAGAAACTGCTGAGCCTCAAACTCAAGCTGAAGCACTTGGTACCTGGGCCCTGCAGCAAGTTACTGCAAGCTATGGTCCTGCTTACTCTGGGGCAAGAAACGGATGCAAGGATTTGTCTGGATGCCTTGAGGGATAACCAGGCAGCCCAGTACGTCCACCAGATCAAACTGGGCGCTGCAGGAGTGCAGGAAGACGGGGAGGATTTGCAGCTTCCCCAGCTGGATGCAGGTGCCGTGGCACTGCTGGCACAGATGTACACGGTGCTGGCACAGGAAAAGCTGTGCAGTCCTGAGGCCAGGGACAAAGCCTGCCACGCCAGCAAGGACACTCAGCAGAGGACACTCAACAACGTCCCACCCAAGGAACAGGACAAGCAGGGCTCTGCAGCCAGCGGGGGCTCCGGGGACAGGTTTGGGACGCTGAGATCCCATGAGGACACAGGATTGCCGCACATGGTGAGGAGTTCACCAGTGGAGATCAGAGGCAACTCAGACCTTTCAGGCCCACAGCCCCTGCGCTCTGTGGGGAGTTCCTCCCTGTCCAGCTGTTTGGAGATCAGTGCATCACCAACAGTTGCTTTTCACACCCAGCCTTCTGTCCCCGAGTGTGTCACCTGGCCCAGCCACGCTGGACACCGCAACGGGGACACAGAGAGCCACGGCCCACAGGAATCCAGCTGGGCCAGCACACCCAGCTCTCCCCCTGGGCAGGACACAGCTGCTCAAGGGCCCCAGGCAGAGAAGGGTCTGCAGGTCAGTCCCTGTCACCCCAGCCCTCTCCCTGTTCCCAAGACACCGCTGCCTTCAGAGCCTGCCCAAAGCAGTGACGTATCCAGCGCAGTGACAGGGCCTCACACAGCAAGAGAAAAGCAGGATGAACAGCAGGATGAAAAGCAGGATGAACAGCAATCATCTGCTGATGTCCCTGATTCAAGGGCTGTAGTGGATACTGCTCCTGCCCTTGTGTCCGTGCAGGATTCCAACAATCCAGCAGGCATTCCCTCTAACTCTGCACCTGCTTCTACTTCAACCTGTTCCCTTCCTCCTCCTAATTCCTCCTCAACTCTTCCTCCTCTTCAAGAATCTCCCTCCAGAGTATCATATCCCCCTCCCCTGCATTCGTCCCCCTCTCCAGCCAGGCCTCCTGCTCCCCCAGCCATGGATCCATCGGAGCCAGACGGTGCCAAGTTCTTCACATTTGTTGTCCTGCATGCCAGTGAAGATGAGATTGTGGCCCACCAGGTCAAGAACCTGCTGGAGGGCATGGGGGTGTCCAACGGTGCCACGCTCAGTGAGGATTTCTTCATCGCCGGGCGCAGCCACATGATTTGCTTCCAGGAGGCCATGGAAAACTCTGCCTTCATGATCCTCCTGCTGACCAAGAACTTTCCCTGCAACCTGTGCCTGTACCAGACAGACACTGCTCTGATGCAGTCCATCGTGGACCCCTCCAAGAAAGACTCAGTCATCCCCTTTCTACCCAAGGCAAACGCCTTGGAGGACAGCCAGATCCCCGGGATGCTCCGTGTGCTCATCACCCTGAAAGAGAGCTCTCCTCTCTTCTCCAAGAATGTGCACAAGACTTTTAACCCCAAGAAAATCAGCGAGAAGAAAGCCCTGTGGGACCAGATGCAGAGAAGGAAGCTCCAGGAGCGTCGGGAACAGCACCAAGCCCAGCAGAACTTGGCTGCCCTGAGCCTGGGCTCCCCTCCCCGGGTGCCTCCAGCAGTGCCACGGCCGTGGCCACCAGGGCCACCAGCCCAACACTGGTGTCCCCCTGCCCCGATGGAACCCCCTCCTGCTCAGAGGGGTACTCCCCCTCCCCAAGCACAGCTGCCCCCAGGTCACTACAACATCACAGCAGGCCAGGGAGGGATGCCACCCCTCATCATCCAACACGCCCGCATGGTTCAGATCGGGAACCACAACGTGATGCAGGTGGAAACTGCCCCACCTGAGCCAGGGCACAGCCAGGAGCAAAGCCAGCACCACATCTGAGCCAGGACAGCCAAAATTCATTTCAAATCCTGGATCAGAGTGATTATGCTGGGACTGGGACTATTATTCTATGCATCAAGAGTGCAATTTTACCAAAGCACAAAAGAAAATTCTTCATTTTTTATTGGAAAAAAAGATGTAGTGATCTCTTGGAATTGTTTTTACTTGTGCTGATTTTCAAGTAACCGAGAAAATTATTTTCCTAATTGTCTGGAGCTACTTGAAGATTTTATAAATAAATTTTAATTAATTTACTTGTGTTCCTCTGGTTCTTTCCAGGGATAGTCAGGGATATATGGAAAACTATTCTGTATGTTGGCTGGAGGGGATGGGAGATGGCACTGAGCAAATGATTTGAGGGACAATCTGCAAGGGATGCTTTGGGAAGCTGCCTTTCAGGAAAAAGTGGAATGAAAAACTAAAACCAGCGAGCAGAGTGGTGCAGAAGGGTGGAGAAATCCAGGAATGCAGAGTGGGAGGGAGCAAGGGATCTACCGGGGTGGTACCTACCCAGCTTTAACACCTCGAGGGCACCTGGAGCAAAGCCCTGGCTCCTCCTCCCATGCTCCAGGCACAGCCATTTTCCTGATCGTCAGCAGAGGTCACCCCAAAGCCACCGAGAGATGGAAATGGGGCTGTTCCCTCCCGGAGCAGAGCCCGGAGCCAGCTCAGCCTGTGGAGGAGCAGGGCAGAGCTGCAGGCTCCTCAGGAGCCACTCCCTGTCAACGTGGATGCTGCTGTGATCAGTACAGGGAAGTGGCCCCGTTCCAGGTATCCCTGCAGGTCTGCGTGTGCTCGTGGCACTCCTTGGCTTCCCCAGCAGGTTCCAGGAGGATCCAAAGCCATCCCTGCCCGAGCTGGGCCCTGGCAGGCCTCATTCCAGACTGCAGCCTTGGTCCAAGAGCCCTCCAAGCCCCAAGCCAGCCCCTGAGCGATACAGATGTGTTATTAAATCCTCGGGGGAGGCTCTGAGCTGCCCCCAGCTCTTGGCTTCCAGCTCTCAAATACTGGATTTTAACTCTGCAGGACCCAGTGACAATGGATTAACTCATCCACTCCTTCCAGAGCCTGCTGGCATCCTCTAAGTGCTGGAATTCCTTTTATTTCCCTGGGTTCTCTCCTCCATAGCACCAGTAAGAGTTGTTGTGTTACTGCAGTTCCTGTCTCCTGCTGTTGGCACAGGACAGTCCTGACTCCTGGGAGCACTCCCACATCCCTCCTTTCCCAGCTCCTCTCCTACTATAAATAATCATGCAAAATTACTCAACTGGAAGCTGCTGCAGCTTGTAAACAACCTCAGCACAGCCACATCCAGCGTGCTTGGATCACACACAGGGGAGGGAGAGCTGTGTCTGGGGCACAGGAGGGTCTGCAGCCACCACAGTGGAGAAAAAACTCCTCTCTGGCCAAGAATTACCAAAATAATCACTGAAACATTGCCCTGCTCCTCACAACTCTGTGTTTCGCCCACGTGGAGCTGGCCCTACAGTCAATCGGGCCTGTTCAGTGTAATTACCCCTAAATGATGCAGTGATTTCTCCACCCTGTAATTACTATCAACATTTAATTGCTGGGCCCTCTGTGTAATTACAGGCTGTTTAAAAAAAAGTGAAGCCTTTTCCATCACACAGAATATTCTCCTCCTTGGGGCTGTTGCACCTGACTGGATCCCCCCCCAGCTCCCTGACCACAAGAGCCCAGCTCCAGATTTGCTCCTGCCTGGATTAACTCTGCCAGATGGAATTCTCTGAGGCCACCTGGCTCCCTGTACCTGCTCTCCCACACCTGGAGATCACCTGCAGCACAGGAGGAATGGCTGGGTGGGAGAAGCACATCCCCAGGCTCCACAGACACTGCTTTAAATGGCATTTTTAGCACAAAGGCACCATCATTCCTCAAGGCATCAAGAAGTAAGGATGGAGCAGTAAATGACAGGAAAAACATTCAAGTATTTTATCCACCCACCCTCCCTGGGGAAGACCAAGCATTTTTGGGATCCAGGTCCCTGTGTGGAACTAACTCCAGTACCATTAATTCCTCTGTTTCTACAATCCCTGATGGATTTGGGGTTGGAAAACAAACTGATGACAGTGTCCCTCTTTCTTCTTGCTGTGTCCACTGTCCCTCATGTGTGAGGCAGGTAATACACGAGTCAACAGAGATCCTCTCCCGTTGCTTGATTTACATCAAAATATAAAAGAAGAGGTGCCATTTCAGTGTCAGTGTTACTCTTTTCCAGGGGAAATGTTTGCCACTGCAGCACATATTGTTTTTTTCCACAGGAGTAACCATGAAATGAACCAATCACACCTGTTAATAGTAAACACCCCAGAATTCCATACCCACAGTGTCCCATCCCTGGGAAACAAACTGAAAATAGAGGAAAACACCTGAATACAGAGGCTTATCAGGAAGAACTCCAGGGCACTTGCATTCTAGCAGCCATTTTTTGTTTTATTATTTAAAGTTAAGAGCGCTCATCAGCTCACAAAGGAACAAATCCCATTCCTGCAGTTTAGTTCAGGTTTCAGCCAAAAGGAAAAAAAAATAGAAGGCAGCTAAACTAACTCTGCACTTTACAGCTCAATTCAAGTTAAACCTCCTTGCTTTATAAATAAATGTTATAGTTAACACTGCAAAATGTACTGGCAGATCTACAATATCTTGAAGGGGCAGAGAGCGTGGTTATTGAGGCTGATAAATACAAGTAGAGAAGCTTCAGTAGCACAGAGAGCAAGGGTGGGGCCAGGGGTCTGCTCTCCCAGGTGGACCTTTCCCAGAGCTCCAGGCAGCTGCTTCCCCCCTCGGCTGTGCTTCCCACCCTGCTCAGGGCCAGGGAAGGAGCCACAGGCTGCCCATCACCGCCTGCACAAGGACAAACTGCTGGAAACTCTTTGTTTTCCACCACGGATGGGTCTGCTCATACAGGCAAAAACTCGCCCTCTAACTTAACTACAGAGTCAAAAACAAGGTGTGTGCAGATCCCCATCAAAGGAAGGAGCTTGCCCAAACAGCAGCCAGGTGAGATTTCAAATTCCACCTTGGAAGTAGCACCATCCTCAGTGAAGTTACAAAACAGAAAAAAAAAATTAAAAAAGGAAAAAAAACAAGACTCAAAAGCCCAAACCAGCTGCTAAGAACCCACTGCATGAGGTTTCAGAATGGGGCAATAGCAGAGCCCAAGCACATGATACTAAAACCTCAGAAGGACAAGCAGGCACCTTAAACTTTCATTTCTTGCTTCTTCCTTCAGCCCACCCTGGTGCAAACCCACCACAGACACTCACTTGCTTTCATAACGCCCTCCCAGCACCTCCACACTGCAGGTACCTCCTGCCCTAAAGGGCTTGCAAGAGCTCAGCTTTGAAAATAGTTCCAAATGTGCTGTTTTGGCTCCCAAATCGTCCACATTCACCCTTCCAGCTCAATCCCTGCTGCCCTCTGGAGCCAAAGCACGTACATGCTGGGAATGGAGCAAACGGGTGTGGAATGGACAAGCCAAGGGCCTGAACACCACATCAGGATTTTGTCATTAAAGTAGTTTTTTCCTCCCCATTCATAAACTACAACATCTATGGATGAAACTGTATAACCAGAACTGACCTTCCTCTATCTTACAGGATTGGAGAAGTCTTGCAGCATAGATAGGGCCTGGCTCTACGAGAGAAAAAACATCCCAGCTTTATGCACAATCATGGAAATCTCAGGCCTTTAACACCATTTGCTACTTGGCCAACCAAGAGAGAGACAAACCCCATCCTCAGCACGCCCAGCCCTGTGCCATCCCTGGGCAGAGTACAAGCCCCTCGGCTGTTGGGCATGGGCTGTCCCAAACCTGACAGGAGGGAGGGGAAGGGATTAGCTGGAGGGTATTTCATTCCTCACTCACTTTCTATCTGTTGGGTGTGTGGGGTGGGAAGGGCCAGAGCACGTGGGGGATGTGTAGCTGCTCCAAAGCTGAACACTGAGTTAATCCAGCACTAACAGGAGAGGCAGCAGGTCCCAGGGAATCTCAGTTTCCTTCCTTCTCAGGACACGATGGTGGCATGGGGAAGGGCAGGGGCTGTGTCCTCTGTGCACAGAGTGCACTGGAGAGAGCTGGTACCTGAAGGTGACAACAAGGGACAGCCGTGAGCTCTGAGGCCTCCTCCTGCCCTGCCCCAACACGCCAGCTGGGTGGTGACAGATGGGGACAAAGCTCAGCACAGCAACGGCCCTGGGCACTTTGGCACAGCCAGCCCAAGCCCTGCAGCTGCACAACCTCAGCGGGGTGGGACAGGCTGGGGACTGTTGGCTGTTCACGCCCTAATGCAGCTCAATGAAGGCTTCCAGCTCCTCGGGGATGAATCCCTTGTAGGGAATCTTGTGCTTGTCCAGGGCACGAGCAGCAAGGCACTGGAGGGTGATGTAGTTGAAGGGCTGCATGGTGCTCTTGGTGAGCAGCTTCTCATCCAGCAGCTCGTAGGCCGTCTGCTTGAAGGCGTTGGTGGCGTCCATGTGCGCCCCAGCCTCCATCAGGGCGCTCATGATCAGCGGGCAGTTGTTGCGGGCAGCCACGTGCAGGGGGGTGTTGTTGTCATAGTCCCGGCTGTCCGGGTCTGCCCCGCACTCCAGCAGCAAGTTCACCACGTGCAGAGACGGGAATTTGCCCACGGGGTACCGCCCCACCGTCGTGGTGTCTTTGTCCACGGCCATGTGCAGCAGGGTGAAGCCGTTCTTGGCGCGGGGGCTGCACTTGAGCAGGCGGTAGATGGTCTGGCGTTTCTGGTGCTCCTGCTCCGGGGTGCACTCCACCTTCTCCAGCAGGAAAACCAGGTGCAGGATGATGGCCAACGTCTTGGTGAACTGCGCCGAGTCGGCCACGGGGTCCTTGCCGTGCACCAGGGCCCTCTCCACCTCCCGGACCCCTTTGCTCAGCACCCCGATGAGGTCGGAGAAGCCGAGGTGGGTGGCTAAAGTGCCTTTGGAACGGTCCTGGAGCACGTAGGAGTAAAGCTCGGCGAAGGAAAGGAAACTGCTGGCAGTCATGGGGCTGAGGGGCTCCAGGTTGCCTTGCTGCATGTCCAGGGCGTACTTCCACAGGTTAATGCAGCGCTCGAAGTTGCCGGAGTCGGCGTAGACGGCCCCGCGGTATCGGATGTAGTAGGAGGTGTCGGGGTGGGAAGGGCCCAGGATGCGCTCCCGGATCAGCAGCGCCTGCATGCGCATCTCGTCGGGGTCCGTGATCAGCGCTTCCAGCTCCTCCAGAGAGCTCACCTCCCGCGAGTAGTCGTAGGCCAGCACCAGCTGCCGGGGCTCGGGCTTAGGCAGGTACTTGCCACCCTCGCAGCGCAGCTCCATCGCCCTGCGCCAGTACTTGTGGGCTCCCAACAGGTCTCGCTTCTTGTCCACAAACGTGGCACCCAGCAGCTCCAGCGCTTCCACAGCAGCCTCTCGAGTGCAGAACACGTTCGGGATCTCATCCTGCCCGGAAGCTGAAGCACCGCAGCCCTCACAGCCCTCTTCGCTGCAGCCCCTCTGATGGCTCCCACTCTGGCTCCCCGCAGCCTCGTCCTGCTGCAGGCCCCCCTGGATCAGGTACTCCACGATGTTGGTGTGGCCGGTGACGCTGGCAGCGAGCAGAGGGGTCATGCCGTAGCCGTCCTTCTCCATGCGGGCCTTGGAGCGGAGCAGGAGCTGCAGGATCTCCAGGCTGCCCGACTCGGCGCAGTCGTGCAGGGCCGTGTTTCCCTTCACGCTGCGCCGGTTCACATCGGCCCCTTTCTCCAGCAAGTAGCGGGCGATCTCGCGGTGCCCTTTGTAGCAGGAAATCATCAGGCACGTGTGGCCGTGCCGGTTGGCCACCTCCAGGTCAGCCCCGCGTTCGCCCACCAGGTACCGCACGATCTCCAGGTGCCCATCGAAGCAGGCGGCCCGCAGCGGGGTGGAGTTGGTCAGCGTGGTCTGGTTCACCGAGGCGCCGTGGTCCAGCAGGCTCCGCACCACGCCCAGGTGCCCCGCGGCCGAGGCGGCCCACAGCGGCGGGGCCCCCTCGATGGTCTCCCCGTCGAAGCTGACGGAGCCGCCCTCCTCCACGCGGGCCCCGCAGTGATCCAGCAGGTACTCCACCACCTCCAGGTGTCCGTGCCGGGCCGCGATCAGCAGCGGGGTGCTGCCGGCCCCGGGGCCTCCCCCGCCGCCGGGCCCCGCCGTCAGCGCCTCCAGTTCCTCACGGCTGCGGCTGCCCAGCAATTTCTGCAGCAGCTTCAGCTTCCCGTCGCGGGCTGCGTTGTACACGGCCGTGCGCAGGTCCATGGCGCCAGCGGCCGCCTCCAGGCCATGGACCGGCGGCGGCGCGGCCCAAGCGCGACGCGGGGCGGGCGGGGGGCGGCGGGACCCCCCTGCCCTCAGCGCGGCGGGACCTTCACTGCCCGGGCCCGGCCGCCATCTCAGGCTGCGCCGCGGAACAAAATGGCGCCGCGCGGGGCGGAGCGCGGCGCGCGGTGGATGACGGGAATTGTAGTCCCGGGAGCAGCACTGCCCGCCTGGCGCCGCACCGCGCGCACTCTGTTTCCCAGAAGGCAGAGCGGGCGGGAAGGATGTACACCCTCTCCTTGCGGGGCATGCTGGGTAGTGTAGTCTCTTCGGCCCGCTGAGGGTAGCGCAGCTAATGGGGTTTCGCCAGCGCCGGGACTACACTTCCCAGCGCGCCCCGCGCGGACCAGGTGCTGTCCAGGTGTGTCTGTGACTCCCTGCGTGTGCTGGTTTCATAGCGGTTTTATGTCTCTTAAATTCCCTGACCTTATGGCACTTCAAAACACAGCGGCCGCATAGCATTAATCTAACGTGGTTTAATTGCAGGTTTTACGAAGTTGTAATGTCCTGAGCTGTAACGGAGCCACAGAGATGATGCAGGCCAGCCCGTGGGATGCAGTTCCTGCCTTGGAGGTGGCAAAGCCTTGACCCGTCAGTGAACACAGATTTATTCACTCCAATTAGGTCCAATTCAATCCATTAGGTCCAGCTCACAACATCCATCAGCGACAATACCTTCCCAGAGTGAGGGAAAATACTCGAGCAATAAATAGCTCAGCTTAGATGAGCAAAGCTTTACTCACCGGAGTCTATTTTTAGGGCATACGTTGAGTTTAGGTGTTCCTAATCTTTATACAGAGAACTGGCACAGGGTTTCTCCCATTGTATTTTATTTATAGCTGGGTATCTCCTACCCAGGGAAATAAGCTTAGTCTCATTATTCCCATTATTATTATTCTGTCTGTCACGATTATTATTATTCAGTCCATCCACCCGTTTTAGGTCTTGTCTGGAATTACACTGGATTATCCCACTGATGCCTGTTGCCTGCACACAGAATATCACTTTTGTTGCTAAGAAACTGCTTTTGCATAACAGGCAGCAGGAGCCCAATTTTCACTTCAGCAGCTTCTGAAAGTCCCCGGGAGCAGCAGCAGCTGCTCCTGGAGCAGAGTGTCCGTGGCAGAATTCCCACACGAGGCTGGGATGGATTTCCCAGAGCAGCTGTGGCTGGCCCTGCATCCCTGGAATGTCCAAGGCTGGACAGGGCTTGGAGCAGCCTGGGACAGTGGGAGGTGTCCCTGCCATGGCAGGGGATGGAGCTGGATGGGCTTTGAGGTCCCTCCAGCCCAAAACTTCCCAGAATTTTGTGACACAGCGACTTTGTGTTTGAGAAGAAAAGGGGCAAAGGTCCCTTAAACATCTGCAGGGTGTCCGTGCTGTACATCAGGGCAGGAGGAACCAGAGAATCCTTGAGCTTGCAAAAACCCTCCAGGACCACCAAGTCCAACATCTCCCTCAGGGCTGTGGGAACACAAAATTCTGGGTAGGATCCATCGTGTCTTCACCCAGAAAAAAGCCCCATGAACGCTGTGAACCCTCTGGGTGTGTCGGGGCATTCTGGGCTGTGAATATCCCACCTGGGAGTGTCCCTGTCCCTGTCCCCTCTGTGAGGAGCCAGTGCAAACCTGCAGCTCCCAGGCTGTTTGTGCTGCAGGTCAAGGCACAGACACGGTGACATTTCCTCTCCCCGCTGGCTCTCGTGTTGCCATGGTGACCAGATGCACTCGCTCTTTTATCTGAAGTATCTATTAACCAAAGCTTCCTATTAATTTCCCCTCCATAGAATCCATTAGGAATTCACCAGAAACACCACACAGGTTTTTTTTTTTTAGGTCCCAAACCCAGCTCAGAGCCCACCCCTCGTTCCTGGGTAGGCTCTGAGACATCGTGGGGTAAAGTGCAGCTGATGGAAATGGTTTTTCCATTAATAAGAAATTTCTCAGTAATGAGGGAATAAAGAGCAGGAGGAGAAATGTCACAGCAGCCTCTCCCTGCAGATCCCTGGGTGTGGAACGTGCTGCAGCCTCAGGACTTCACTCTGAATCTTTTCTAAACCAGGATGGTCCAAGCCCTGCCCAGCCTGGCCTTGGGCACTGCCAGGGATCCAGGGGCAGCCACAGCTGCTCTGGGCACCTGTGCCAGGGCCTGCCCACCCTCACAGGGAGGAATTTCTTCCCAAAATCCCATCCATCCCTGCCCTCTGGCAGAGGGAGCCATTCCCTGTGTGCTGTTGTGGGAACCCAGAGCTTCCCTCTGGCTGCCCTGGGACCCTTCAGGGGTCAGGAACCCCCCTGGACAGAGCCCCCAGAGACACTCTCTGTGATCTCTGTCCATGGAAAAGAGTTTTCAATCTTACAGGATGGATTACAAGCTCTGAGGGTTTGATATCAGTAATAATTAAGCATGGCACGGGTGAAAAAGTCAAATTTTAGGATTCTAGATTAGGGGGCCAAAGGGGACAAGATGGAGGAAATTGGGTGTGCCTTGTCCTTTTTCTCCTTCTTCATGCCCTCCATGTTTCACTGTGGTGTTGGCATTTTTCTGTTGGTTCAGGCTGGGGACACACTGTCCAACGTAGGTGACAGATATTGGCACATTATTGTAAATCCAGCACAGGTAGTTTGTGGTATTTAATGTTTGTACCATCCCACTGAGGGCAGAGCCCCACACGCTGCCCTGCAGGACAGAGCTGCGGCAGGGCAGCAGAACATGTTAGAGATAAACAGAATAAACACCCTTGAAACCAGCACAGACCAATTATGGCTTCTGCTTTGGCAGCGGGGCTGACAGACAGAGACTTTTACAATCTTGGGATCATCAATACCTCAGATTCTGACATGCTGTCCCTCCATCCCTTGTCCCAGGTGGCTCTCCCGGAGCCCCTCCAGGCCCTGGCTGTGTGGCTGCTGCCCCTGTGCCCTGTGCCCTGTGCCCTGTGCCATCCCTCTGGGGGTGCCAGGGACGTGGGGCAGCTCCCGGGTGCTCCTGCTGAGCTCCAGCAGCAGCAGCAGCTCAGGAACGTGGGTGAATCCCCACATCTGGGGCTCCTACCCCCCACATCCCTCCCCTACAGACCCCACGGGGGACACCTGGGTAGGGTTTTTGGGATAACACAGAAAAAAAACCCCAGAAAGAGTTCTGGGAATAAGAGGGGAGTTAAAGCCCCATGGGAGGAAGAGCAGGTAAAAAATGAGACGTTGTGACAGGGCTGCCAGGCTGCGTGGCAGGAGGGTTAATTTTTTGTGAAACTGCCATTTCATATTCCCTTTCAGACAAGCTGAATTACACGGTGCTGGCTGCTGCAGGAGGAGCATAATTTCCTTCACAGAAATAATGACAGGGTACTTAAAGAGCAAGTGAATGGATGGCTGAAGTACTGGGCAGAGACTTCAGAAATCCAGGCTGAGCCCTCACCTTTACAGAAGGCTCCTTTGGTGACCTTGGGCCAGTCATTTAATCTTGCTGTGTCTCAATTCCCTGCCAATAACACAGGAATAATAACTGTTCTCTGTCTGCCTGGCTTATTTAGGCTGCAAACTCGGAATTTACAGCTCATGTTTGCTCTGCTTTGAAGCCAAAGAGCTTCAATCCATGCTGAGGTGTCTGGGACAACCACGGTGTACAATGTGGAGAATAACAAAGGGCTGGGATGGATGGTTTGGAACATCCTCAGTGTGAAATGCTCCAGAATTCCTAATCCATTGCTCCCCATCTCTTCCCTCAAAATGTGGAGAAGTTTGGTGCTGTGCTAAGAGTTCCAAAAGCATCAGAATTATTTAGGAGCAGAGTCCATGTAGATTTATTGAATCCCTGAGTTCCTTCTGAAGCAGAGAGTGGATAATTTAGAAATTGCCTTTGTGCTCAGTCAGGGCTGCAGCAGCTCCTCAGGTTTTTCAGTGTAAATTGAGGCTTGCAGGCTCCTGTGTACCCAGGTTTTATCCATCTCCAGCTTTCAGCAGTTTGTGTGATTTCCTGAAGCCAGGAAAGATGGGTCCCTGCTCCCAGAGCCAGTGAACACCAGATTGTCTCTATAGTTAAGCAATTTGCTGTACAAAGGGAACAATTCTAAAAATAGGGAGAAATGGCACCCTGACATGAGCAGGAAGGATGACCCAATCCCCACCTTGCTGCAGGGCCTTTGTCCTGTAACTGCCTCCATCAGCAGGGCTCTGATGACATTATTTTCTGTGCTTCTGGGGGGCACCAGGCTGGGGGTACCTGGGAGGGAGGATTTTGATCAGCCTGCAGAGGATGAACACGCTGGGGAGGCTTCTGGGGCAGCACTAAATCAAAGTTTCATTTACATCAGACACCAGCCCGGCCATTGCAGCGTTAGTGGCTGCACTGCTGCCCCCAAATCTTGTGTGGATTTAATCTGGCAGTGGGGAAGTGAAAGACAGGGGGAGAGAGAGTCGTGGTGGTTTATGGAACCTGGATCTTTTCTTTCAGGCACCATCAAATGACAGCGATTTGTACAGGTTTAAAACTCTTCTGGCAACAGATTTCTGGCTGCCCCTGGATCCCTGGAAATATCCAAGGCCAGGCTGGACAGGGCTTGGAGCAACCTGGGATAGGGGAAGGTGTCCCTGCCCATGGCAGGGGTGGCACTGGGAGAGCTTTAAGGTCCTTCCAACCCAAACCATTCTGTGATTCCTAATTCACATCTGCCATAGTACCTGTGATGTGGACAATGCTGAGCCTGGTAAGTTAAAAAAAAAAACCAAAAAATAAGGAAAAAGAGAAAAGTGCTCGACAGCACGAACAACCCAAGTTATTAAAGATATATCAGTGCTTTTACCACTGGCCTCAGCAGGATTCAAGAGTTTCATTTTCACACCTAAATACCTTTGAGAATGGAGGCTCTGAGTGGTGTTGAAAATTTATTCTTTTTATATTTTAAGGCCCTGTTGGAAGCAAAGGGCTCAGCTCTCCAAACAAGCCCTGCCAGGCATCGAAGTCCCCTCAGTGTCCAAGTGCCTGACCCTGCTCTGGTGTGTTTGGGGCAGGTTCCTCGGTCCTGCGCTGCCTTCAGCTGGGGCAGAGTGAATTTCCTTCCCAGTGGCTGGTCTGGGCTGTGTTTGGGTTTGTGCTGAGCACAGGGCTGATAATTCAGAGATGTTTTTGTTCTTGCTGAGCTCACTCAGAGAGAGCCAAGGCCTTTCCTGCCCTCATCCAGCCACGCTGGGGAGGGGCTGGGGGTGCCTGGGACTGACCCCAGAGATGTTCCAGACCATAGGACATCAAGCTCAGGATAGAAATAATATTCCGTCACGCCAAAGAAAGAATTGAGGGACATTTGGAGGAGCAGAACAAGCCACGACAGGAGCTCCAGCACCCAAAACATTTGCACAGCTGGGCCGTGGCAGCCTGGGCTGTATGGCAGGCTATGATTTGTTGTCACCTTTACAAACACAACAACAAAATCACTAGTCTTCCACACAGAGCTAGGCCAGGAAAGCAGCGCTTCCTCCTCAGGGATGTCCTCCTGCACGTCTTCTCCCAGCATCCTTCCCGAGTTCTTCTCACCCTGTAATCCTTGTTCCTGGCACTCCTTCAGGGGTGGATGCTGCCCTTTGCAGCGTTCCTCCCGAGACCACATCAAATCTCCCTGTGATCATCTCTCCAATTTGTGCTGTTCCCTTGAGTTTCTGCTCCATTTCCTCACTCCAGAGACTCTACAGGGACATCAGGGCTCAGCAGGGGCTCCTCTTGCCTTACCCTGGGATAAACTCCTCCAGGAGTGCTCTGTCAACTGTCTGTCTCCCAGCTGTATTGGAGTCTGACTACAATAAGCAAATGCAATATATGCTGGGGAACACTGGAGAAAAGGACTCTGCAAAGAGAAAGATAATGATAGTGCCAAGTTTCCTGGAATCCCACTGAGAAGCTGATTTAAGCAAGGAAAACAGACCCCTTTTGCCGCTCCCTTTCTCTGGATTTGTTCATGAGCAATCTTTGGTTCAGGTCCAGCTTTTCTTTCACTGCCCAGGTTTTCTCTGACGTGGATTAATCCCTCCACACCCATGGAAAGGATCTGACTTTATTCCTTGTCCAGCAGAGCTTTACCCACCTCAGCCTCTGAAATCAGGCAGGGAACAGCCTCTTCCCATCTTCACCCAGCTGTTATGGGTACTTTTGTAAGCAGGTGAGGAAAAAAGGGAAAGAAATAAAACCATTCCTCAGCAGCCTTGGCTGCTCTTCCATGGGAGGATGAAGTGTGTGCAGCTACAGGAGAGGGTTTGGGTTTGATGCTGCTGGCAGGGGCTGTGCCCTGTGGGAGCTCATGGGGAGCAGTCCCATCCCTCCCTCCCTCTCCTTTTTTATAGCATATGTGCTTTCTATGGACACTTTATTTTAACTCCAGATGGGTGTTTCAGTCTGGGGATTTGTGCTGCTCTGAGATAACAGCCCTTTGTGCTGGCCTAGGTAGCAGAGAGTGTTTGTGATAGCTGGGGCTGATACCAGGAGATGTCCAGGTGGTCTTATTTAACAGGGAGCATTAGTGATACTGCCATTGTCCAGGAAATCAGATAAAAACGGGTCCAGGTGTTACCCAACACCGTGTTTGTGTAAGGACAGAGCCAGCTGCTGAACATGGGGGGATGTGTTCTTGTACAAAACTGCTGTCACCCCAAACCTCCCGGGTAAAATTTAACCAGGAGCTGAATTTGGATGATCCTTGATGAGTCCCTTACACTCAGGATACTCTGTGATTCTAATCTGAATATCAAGTGGAACAGTAGAGAATATGCAGTGAAAACATGTGGGGAGTGAGACAATATTTAGAAACAGAAATTCAGGACAATTCAGTCTTTGGCCCAAGTTAACGGGAAGAGAGGATAAATTGTAAAGAAGAATGAATTTGAAAGAGAAGACAGTTTGGGAAATGCTAAGCTGGGCTGGAGTTCCAGGTGACAAGGACACTATTCAGTCCTTTTTCTAGGACACAGCTCCACAAAGGGATTTACCACGAATCACTGCCAGACAGTCAGGTAAAAATCAAGACAGGAGACATGTGAGCAAGAGCTCCTCTGTTGGTTTCACACCCAGCCATTCCCTGTTTAGAGTGAGGTGTTAAGTAGGAAACATAAATTACAGGCTCAGAGGCATGTGAGGTTTTTGTCTAGACTGTCTCTGTGGGGCTGTATTTCTCTGTGTGGTATTTGTCAGGAAGGGATCTGCACTTCTGCTTTGTCCCAGAGCTTTCAGGGACGTGGCTCCTTGTACTGGGGGCAGCTGGACCTCGCCCCTCTCCCTGGCACTGGGAGGCTCCTTGGGAATTATTTCTATGGATGGGAGCTAAACTTAGCTCAGAACACGGGAAAAAGCCTGTCTGGAAAGAGTGGGGATTCTTGGCCTCCAGCTATCTCCGAGCAGGCTCATCACTGAGAGATCCCCAGCTGCACTTCCAGGCTGTAAATTAAACAAACAGAATTTCCTCTACACCAGACCACAGGGAGGGCAGAGAGAACAATGTGGCCTTATTGCTGTTATTTCCTTTGGTTTCAATCTCTGTCCTCTGCCCCCCACCTCCTCCCCAGCCCCGTGTCTCCCACTTTACCCGATTTGTCATTTATTACCGTGCTTTAAAGAGAGGCAGGGGGAAAAATGCTCAGTGCAAATTATATTTTGAGCTGTTGTGCTTTGCCTCTTTGGTGGATAATAAATCTCTCTGGCAATGCTCCTCTGTATAGGATTTGTCATTAAATGCAATTAAACAAACCCTGCAGGTGTCCATGATCAGGCCTGCAGCAGCCCATTCACAACTGCAATGTTATTATCAGCCTGACAACAAAACACCAGATATTTCCTGAGCTCCTCTGATCGATGAGCTTGCCTGATTTGGAACTGGAGGGAGGAGAGAAGGGGGACCAAAGCGGTTCAAATGCTCTTTAGACTTATTGATGGAAAAGTCAAAAAGCTGCTCAGCAATCAGAGAGAAGGTGGAGAGAGAAAAGGGCCGAGGGACAGAAGGGCTAAAAGGGAAAAATGAGAGAGGAGTGTTTGGGAGTCAAAAGGCAGAAACAAGGCGAGTTTTCACATGGTGCCCTTCCACCCAATGAGTTGGTTAATGCACAGGACTGGAGTTTGAGAGGCAAGGAGGGTATTTCAGGGGTGATTCCATGGCAGCTGGGCTTTCAGTGCTGTGACGTAGCCTCCTTGCCCAGTTGGCACAACAATTCCTCTCACCCCGGGACAGGACCTGCCTGGCACTGTCCAGGGATGTCCGTCTGTCTCCACACACTGTAGCCAAATGCTTGGATCAGACACCCAACTAATTTCAAACCCCACCTGGAACAGAAAATGGAGCTGGACAGGGCTTGGAGCAGCCTGGGATAGTGGAAGGTGTCCCTGGCCATGGCAGCAGTGGCACTGGCTGAGCTTTATGGTCCTTCCAACCCAAACCATTTGGGATTCTGCGACTCTCTGAGTGCAAGTTCTTCCCTATCCTCATTCACACCCCGAAGCATGTCCTGGCACAGCTTTGGGAAGCTGCAGAGGTGCTGCTGACAGGACTTGTCCAAAGCAGATGCAACAACGTTCACACCAGAATTGCTGTGTGCTCTGACAATCAGGAACAGGAAAAAAATCTCCTGTGGTTTCTGTGAGCCATCCCAGGCAGCCTGTGGAGTGTGAAGGTCAGGGATTCACAGGGGATGGCTGCTATCAAGTCCAGTGAGAGAGAAGAATTTGCCAACACCAGTGGAATTTTTCTGCCTGCCTTGTTTGCTCAGCTCAGCCTCGGGGTGCTCTCAGGATGAACCTCTGTCCCCCCCTGTTCTCACCCCAGGAATCCTGGTTCAGCCTGGTTGATTCTGGGGCACACACGGAATTGCAGTGACAAGGGACTAAATTCACATTACTGTTCTAGTGCCACCTAAAACAATGGATTTTGGGGTTGGATGGGGGAGTCAAGGGTACCAGTAGTGCCTATGTAGAGTGTAAGGGATGGTTATTTACTCCTACAATAAAAAGCTTTTGCAGGGTGCTCTGACTTAAGTTTTAGAGCCTCATCTGTAAGGCAAATAGGCTGGGACCCTGTTTGCTGCCATCCAAGGTCACACTACAGAAGGAGCCAGGAATTCTGTGATCAAGCCATGGGTCTCAGAATGAAAATTTCCCTGGAGCCTGCACCTAGAGCACTCTGCAGCACTGGTCTCCGTCCCTCCTAAAAACCCATGAATAAAATTTATGAATAAATATATTTTGTATGGCCTCTCCTACAGACCGTGGGGACGTCTGAGTGACACTGGGTCAGAACACCTGGGAGACTTGGATGAGGACAAACCCAGCTCCTTTACTGGAACAGGCATTGCCCCACTCCAGTCCCTTGCATCTCCCTCTGTTCCTGCCTGGACTCTGCCAGAACCCACAACCACCTGCAAACTTTGTGGGGTGCTGAGGCTGTCACAGGGACCTGCTCTCTCCTGGGACAGAGGGACAGGAGCTGGCACATCCCAGGGCCAGCCCGAGGAGCTGGGGGCTGCTGTGAGGCCTTGAGCACAGAGTGGAACTGCAGATTTCCACCACGGGAGCAGCAAGGCTGGGGCTGAGCTGATGGGGAAACCCCCCGGAGCTTCCATCCGTGGCTGTGAGCAAATCTAGGGCAGGATGGAAATGCACAGCAGATTGGATCGACTTCAACAAACACCTTTTCCCTCCTCCCTTCTTTCCACTTCTCTTCCTGCCCACCTCCAACAGCTCCTCTCTCCGCTGCTCATCTCCCTTTGTGCACCTCTTCCCCGCACTCTCCTCTCTAAACAGGTGCAGTCGCCACTCAATAGACTTTAATTACCACTTCAAGGGCTCTCACCGGGGTCTGCGGGAGGGTGGAGATGAATTTTCCCCAGGATTATGCGTGTGGCTGAGTTCTCTTCAGTCAGATGGTGATACTGCTGCCAGCCGGGATCCTTGGAGAGATCGGTTCTTCGGTTCTCTGTTCGTGTTAACAAAAAGGAAAACTGCTGCTGAAGGGGAAAAAAAACCCCAAAAAACCAAAAAAAAACCAACCCAGCCATTACCTGGATTAATTAGCAGGACAACAAATGGGGCTGGAGAAAAACATTATAGAAAATTTACAGCCCAGGAGTCTCAGCTGGGCTTCCAAACTATTATTCCTTGCAAATCAGAAGTGAAGAGCTCAGCATCTCGGAAGATTTCTGTGGGAGACTGGGCTCTAAAAATACAAGTTGTTTTTAACCACTTTACCTTTTTTTTTTGCTCTGTGCTCTTCCCATCACGGCTCACTGGAGAGAAGTGCTGTTAATGCATCCTGCTGGGACCCTGGGGATTCCTCCCAGGGAACGTGTGGGCTCATTCCTGGCTCCAGCACAGTTTGCCTGTGATGGAGGAATTATTCCCAGTGTTTAACTAGTAACATAACATTATTTTTATTATTAAGATCCTCTTCAAAAGGCACTCCTGGAGAATGCAGAGCAGCTTAT